CTCGACAGCCCCTCCTTCTCTGCCATGTCAAACAGATCGGAACTAGGTGCAGAGCTCTTACTTCCTTCAAGAACTCCCCACAGACGGCGCCAATTTGATGGGTCTCCTCCAAGATCTGGAGTGAACCGGTGGAAATGAGCTCCGGTCTGTTCGAATCGCCTCAAAGTCGTCCGTGGACCGCTGCGAACACCTGCAAGAACTCAACACCAGTAGCTGAAGAATGAATCGAGAGAGTAAAAGTTAGGGTTTGGGGTTACCTCAGCTCCTTTATATAGGAGTAAAAACACTTACTTAAAGTACCTAAAATGCCCTGGCCGACTTACACGAAGTGTCCAAAATGCCCTGGTCGGTTCGCATTCCTCCCACTCCTGAGCCAGCATCAAGATTCCTTCTTATCCTGTATGAACTTAGCCTCGCTTGGAGATTTTCTCTGTGTTATATTCAAGTGTATCGAGTAGTCGGAGGTCTTGTGAGTCGACTTGGGGCCTTGTCAAGTCGACCTAAGGTTGTATATGTATCCGGGGCTCCTGGAATGCCTGCTCGTCTTCTTAAGGGAAGCCGTCTTACACTCAGTCGACTTCCTGAAGTCGTCTTGAGACCGTTATCGGGTCGATGATGGTATTCAAATGGCCGATGGGCCAAGTCGACTTTGGAGATGTCGACTTAATGGTGTCGTCAGCAGTGCTTGTTCAGTCGGGTAGTTAGTATTTGAATCGAGCTATGACAATAGGGCTATATCACCGCGTGAAATTGCCTCAGAATTATATGAAATTTCAGTTGAGAAGGAACCTAGAATCATTCAAGCCTTAAGAAGTTTTATTTAAATTCAGTTGAGAAAAATCGAGTAGTTTAGTACTCTTGTCGATTTATTTTTTGTTAGCCTTTCGAACCCTCTTTGAACCCTGGAATTACCATGAGATCTTGAGTGTTTTCAGTTGAGCAAACTGAGAGTTTTCCTTGAATTTTTATTCCAGTCGAACCCCTTTTCAAAACCACCTTGAACCCTGAACTAGTTGTCGAGGTCCCAGGCACCGACCTACAACCCTGCTATTATTGTGATATATGTTATTAGTTTGAATAATTGTCGCTCCCTACTGAGGTGTAGTTGCTCATACCACTTTTCAGGTTGATCCAGTTGGCGACGAGACACGGGATGGTGCAATGGTCGTATTTCGAACAATTTGTTGTTTATGATTATTTAGACATTTGACTTGGTTGGTTTGTTAGGTTTATGATTATTTAGATATTTGACTTGGTTGGTTTGTTAGACTTGATTATTTATCATGGGGTTTTGGTATATGAAATGCTTTATTTGATTACCGACTTTGATTATGACATAATATTTGAACACATTGAGTTTGAGATTTGAGATCTCACAGTGAGTAAGTTGCATGAGTTTAGTAGTTCCTTATTTTTAGAAGTTGTTTGGCTGCAGTGTTTTATATGATAAGTTGCTTTTGGAAAATCAAGTATGGAAATTTTTAGAATTTCAAAAGATAAGTTAGAGGGCACTACAATATATGACTATTTTTGGCTTAAAATAAATATTTATCAAAATTATAATATGTGGATATAAATTAAATTATTGATATGAATCAGTACCATGCTTTGTTTTTCCAGCAACCCAAACCCAACTTTTACACTTAAAGACCGTTATACAATGTATCGTAAATATACAATAATGCTCACCTACCCACGGTGGACACATGTTAATATGTTCACCGCTTATGTGGCATGTACACATTGGTGGTATATTTTTTTTAACATATTAACATCACCAATGTTTGATTGCCACATAAGCGGTGGACATATTAACATGTGTCCACCGTAGGTAGGAGAGCATTATCCCATATATATAGCAAACATACATCGTGAAAAGACAAGCAGAATGTGTGGTTGACAATAACCACAACTGAGAACGTTTTCTAAGAAAGCGATGGGAAAAAAAGAAAAATTGCAGGATCACATTGAACTTCTACACCAACTGCAACAAGGGATTGAACAAAATGTATGTATCCACTCACAAACCACCCAAATCAAAAACAAAAAGAAAAGAAATAGTGGGAAAAACAAAATTAAACTAAGAAAATAATATGTACCTGCGCCTCTCAGATCTTCACAAAACTAATTTCACTTTGAACGGCACCTGGGCAAAAAAAATGTGAAAGCCACAAAAAAAAAGAAAAAGAAAAAAGGAAAGTAACCTAACAACAGGATTAACTAGCCATGGTTCGGAAATACACCAGAGAAATTTGGGATCTTATCGACATGCTTCAAAGCACGCTCGGCAATCTGGCGTGTCTGGTAATCCCCATGCTGGAAAGCATCAACAAGGGCGGTGCTAATATTAGGATTATCAGTCACCTCAATGGCTATCTCCTCGTTCCTCAACAGCCTCTCGGCCACCCACACAGCCCTCCTCTTGAGACTATCCGTCCTTTTCTCAAGCAACAAGTCGAGCATCGGCTTAACCCCATCCGCATCAAGCAACACCAGAATACCCGCATCTATATCAACCCCATCATCCAACAAGGTCGACAAAGCCGCCAGCGAGGCCTCAACCACGGTATCGTTTGTGTGGTCCAAAAGAGCCACTAATTTACTCACCGCTTGTCCTTCCAGTAAACAAAAAGTCTCCTTCAAAGAGCACGTACCACGATGGACCTTGCACAGCCCGGTCATCACGCTCGGCTTGCTTAGGCATGGGAAAATGGAAACACAGAAGCCCGGGGACGGTAACTCGGGCAGCTTGGTCAAGTTCTTGGATTCGTGGGAGAGATTCTCGAGGGCCACAGCCGAGACCATCTGCACGTTGTCCAGCCCATTCGCCTGCAGGAGATCTATGAAGAGGGCCGCAAGGTTGTGGTCCTGGCAAAGCCCACGGGCCCGACCCGATTCCTCAGAGAGAGCGAACGTGACCCTAGAGAGGACCTTCACGAGTCCGTCTAAATAGGGGGTCAAAAAGCGGCTGCCCCTTGTCTCCCCCTGCCTGATCCTGACTATCCTGGAGATGAAAAGCTGGAAGGTGCCCTCAGCGAGCAACAGCTGGGTGAGGCCCATGTCCTGCTCGGGCAGGCCAGCGAGGAGCCCTACAGCTGCCGCCTGCTCCTCGGTTATCCCGGAACCCTCAACTATCACCCGGACCAAGCTTCCGAGCTGGCCGGGCAGGGAGTCAACAAGCTCCTGGCCCATGTGAGGGGAGAGGTTCTGGAGAAGCTTGATGGAGGCGAGTTGTAGGTCGGATTGCTGGGCCTCGATGAACTGGACGAGGCTAGCGATTGCGCCCGAGCTGCGGATGGCCGAGACGACGTCCAACACAGTTGGGCCTGGGCCGGTGAGGCCCACGAGCACCTGGAGGAGCTTGCACTCGATGGAGGGGCCGGTGTTGCTGATGAGGTAGAGGAGGTTGTGGATGATCTCCTCCGAGACGAGGGTCTGGCGGCCGGGGCCCACGGGGATGGAGTCAAAGCTGTGGCCGGCGGAATTGACGATGTTGGAGAGGATGGTAGCAGAGACCTCCTTGAGACGCATAGAGAAGTGCTTGTTGCCGACTGTGAAGAGGTCCCTCACGAGCTGGGGGAGGATGCCGGCCTCGATCAGGATCTTGGCGCTCGACTCGTCGGACGAGATCTGGTTCAGGGCCTTAAGGGCGGCCTCCCGGGACTGGGGGTTGTTGCTCTTCACGAGGTTGATGAGGGATAAGCCCGCGGTCCTGGCCACAAACACTTTCACGTCGTTGTTCAGAGCCAGTTCGCCCAGGAATGCCGCCATTGACAGTTTAGTTTCTGGGGATCCTGAGGGCATTGGATAGTATTTACTTTTGTGTTATATGCTTCAGTAACATTTATTTGAAATGAATTATTTTGTAATTCTTTTTTTAATTTTTTCCGCAAACCTGTTTCTAAAATGCACCTTGGGAATTGTTATTGAGATTATGAAAGATAACTGAGGTTTGTGTAATTAGATAAAAATTCAGGATACATATTTTAATAATCCTTAAGTTCAAAAAGGCCTGTCAAAGTTGGTTAAAATACAGATAACTGTAAACTTTAGCTTTACTATAAATGAAACATATACATGTTTCAAATGTACAAATAATTTTACAAATACTTTAAAGGGATAAACTTCAAAAGGTTATTTGAGATTATGAAAGACAACTGAGTTTTGTGTAATTAGATTAAACTTCAGGGGTAATCCTTAAGTTCAAAATTTCATGCCAAAGTTGGATAAAATACATATAACTGCAAGAATTTAGCTTTACTATAAATGAAACAGATATATGTTTCAAATTTACAGATAGAACTACAAATTTTAGGGGGTATCCGTAATTTATAAAGATAATTTGATTCCTTTTTCTTTAAAGGTGGGAACTCATCCAGCAAAGCATCTATTCTAGTCCCAATGGATGAACAAAAAGATTGACATGTTTAAATAGAGTGGTAAAATAAGGAGGTTACAGACTATACCTTCAAGTAGCAATGTCAAAAGTGGTTGTAATCTACCGCATTCAGCCATCTGTCGTACGTTGGTCTCACACACGGCAAGATTTTCCAGTGTTTGATCTGCCTTTTCAACAGTTAAAACATTTTCTGATTTGCTGCTAGCCATTCCTACTAAAATTAGAATGGCTCCATTCACTGAACCAATTTTTTCACATAGTTTTTCTGATTTAGAGAGCTCAAATAACAAAGAAATTGCTTCTTCTCTCTCTTTGGATTGTTCATGGGATAAGAATTTAACTATCGTACGGACTGTATCTCCTTCGGCCATTATTTCCTTCAAAAAGATAGATAATCGTGAGTCCGCAAGAACAAATGACAACATGGACTAAGATGCTTGCCAAAGCTTATCCAAAGGATCTCTTGAACTCCTATATAATGCTACATCTTATAAGATGTTCTTATTTTAGAGCTAATAAAATGTCACTCTCATTATAAACATTAAGTTGTTTAAGGGCGCGATTGGTAAGGAGTCATAACAGATCGATTGATTTTGACAGGATCCTGAGTTAAAAGTGAATTTTTTTGAATAAAGTTGATTGAATGGGATGAGAGAGATTGCAATTAAATAATATTTCAAATGTAATGATTGAAGTTGAAGTGACGTAAAAGTAGGTGAATGAGATGGAAGTAATAGGTAATTAAAAGTATGGGAGTGAATTTAAGTTGATGTGACGTAGAAGACAGATAATTGATATTATTTAATTATGTTAAAAAGATTGAGGATAGTGGGATGAGTTAGATTTTAAGTTAAAGTGAGAAAAAAAAAATAATGATCCAATCAAAACTATTTTAACCAGTTTTAACTCCTTACCAATCGCCTCCTAAGTGTTTCGACAAATGCAATAATGGAGCTTCTAAGATGTTAGCAATGCAGTTTCGTAAGTACTTTGCCTAAACTAAAAGAGGACATTATAGAAGTACTTCTTTTTACTTAAGAAAGAATAGCTCCTCACTTTTCTCATGACATCTTATAAATCCACATTACCATTTTTCAAGAATTTCATAATCTGTTTTATGAAAAGGTTACCAAACAGGTTCTTCATGAGTTAATAAGCTCTCAAATCTTAGAGTTAATTGCGAAAAATACACCCAACATGAATTATTTATTTTCCAAGTTTAAAAGATCCCCTTCAGATTCGCATTTACCATACAAACAACCCTATCCTTCCACATTTCGAGGGTGCACTTTTATATGACAACATAAATTATATAAGGGTTGTTTCTAATTTTGTCATTATCCCAATAGCTCGGCTTCACTAATGTCCAGGGAGTTAATGAAAAGATAACTAAAATACACAGTGAATTATCAAACCTTTGACAACCTTATTATCAGAGTCATCCTCCACCACAATCCGGAGTGTCGCAAGTGCTTTGCACCGTACGGGCCGACTGCTGCTCCTCAACACATCAACAATCATTGGCAACAGCTCGGCATTTCTAATTGCGTGCTTGTTTGACCTGTTTTTTGCACAGAGATGATGCACGTAACTCAAAGCCTGGATTATGTCATTCTCCGGGCTGTTTAGGGACAACGACCGACGAGCCATGTCGAGCTTAGCTGCCTCATTTCTAGCGTTCCATTCTTCTATTGTGTTCTTTAAAGCAATACTCGGATTTAGTTCTGTGCTTCTCAACTCTCTCAGCGTTAAGGGGCACACAAGCCTTCTCCCTTTTTCTCTGCACTCTCTGAACCATTTCTCTATGGCCTCTCGCTCGAAGGTTTGACCATTTTCTAAGGTCACGGGATCCCGCATCACTTGTTTCGTCAAGGGGCAGATGAACGCATCATAAATGGGTTCTATATGGAATCTTTCGAATTGGTAGTTGTCATCTGATTGACCACCCGGCTCGTATTTCCCGTCAAAAGTCCCAGCCATGAACTTAAATTATTCACCTATAGGAGAAAGTTGAGATAATTCTTCTACATGTTCTGTACTGAGTGTTTAAAATATGATATAACTAACAAGGAGACATGCATTTCAGTTATCGTTCCACTTCTATCTTCATGCCAAAAGATGCCACGAATTAAGTTCCCCAATGGGATTAGGAGAAAATCATCCTTCTTTCAAAATTACTTACCCCCATAAAATATTACTAACAGTAATATTACTAACAAGTGTAAAATTAGGAAATATATGGAGGTGACATTTGTAAAATGTCTGAGTTGGCTTTGACAATGTAAGTAAAACTGAATGCTCACAATTTCAGATATATACTTTAGCCTAGCTGTAAATGCTAGACCTAAAGTATCATATACCCGAGGCTGAAAAGCACGGTTAATGTGCCCATGATAGGCAGGTGATCAGTTTAGTACGCAAACCACATGGGAATCCTAATAGAAGCTTTGGTCTCATATATTAACTAGCAAATTCTCTAATGATGAGCTGAAGATTTTCAGTAACCATTTTGTGATCGCCAATAAACAAGCTGATTTTCAGCCTCTCTATATCAAATCAAGCAAGAAAAAGACAAAAAAAAAAAAAAAAA